ACAAGGCTAAAGTTGGCTTCCTGTTTACCAGTTACTTGTTTGAATTTTCCAGTTCCACCTTAAATGGTGCAGCAATTACACTCTGACACATCAGGCGAACTATGGCTCTTATGGTTGACATCTCTTATCAGCTCTCAGGATCAGCTAAGTTAGATAAATATTAGCCAATCCCATATTTGGGCTGTAAATAGGCTGAAACCGGAAAAAAGGCTACATAGCGATCAATCCTTCCAACTGTATCACTGACAATGTGCTCAGGAAAACATATTTTGACATAATGTATCATAATAACAATAAATATCATCATATTGTCCACCTATAGATGAAGTGTTAATGAGGCTAAAACCCTAGGCAGGCTTCTGGTCATAAACATTAGGTTATGCCCTCTAAAGAATTTAAAAATGCTTGTAATCATCTTATTTTGAAATGTTATGTTAATCATTACTGCAATTTGGCCTCTGCAATAGACGACAATTATCTGGTGTACAAAATCAAGGCTTCGTAATTATCTGAAATAACTTCCTCTCAGTAAATGAGCATGCAGTTTTCCGTTGATGATGCCATAAGTGTGCCAATCAGTGTCATCTGTTCACAGTGTGTTGCAGGCATTTACACAATACATAATAAATGTGGTCACCTTTGTCAACACTGTGCAAGTAGACATTTTAACCAGTCTGGTATGTTGCAGTTGCAATGGTTAGAAATATAGTTGGTCTAACACATTTTTTTTTCCTTTTATATAGACCTAAGCAGGTGTCTGTATGTGTGTGTCTGGTGCTGAGATCAGCTACTTGTAGACTAAGAGAAGCATGGAACAGAGAGCTTATGTAGAGCTTATGTGCAGTGAATTCTTATCACAACGGCAGTAGCATGGTGACTTTTACTATGGTGACATCACCTCTGGCAATGCTCCCAGGCGTTCTCTGTCAAGGTGGAGATGTTGGATTAGCAATCTTGTGGTTCTCTCCGAACACCGTTAAAGGCTGTGTTTTAATGACATACTGAATCCAGACTATGTTCTGTAGAAAGAACAAGAACTGTGATGTTTGGATGTTTAGCATTTTTGCCACAAAATAGAGCACAAAGTGTCAAGCTTGTTTATTACCAGAAGCGAGCTGGCATGGTGGCAAAGTGGAGCATTTTTGTTTTTTTTATTTGTTTGCCGCAGGTGGCGTGCTGCTAGAGGCATGCACAAAATGTGTTGTGGGAGTAAGTAGCAAAAAATAGACTCAAAGCTTAAAATTGTACTTTATGCATGCATAGCTGCTGCTGCAGGACAGAAGCAGCTAAGGTAAGGGCTGGGTCTTGTCAAAGTCCTTATGATTAAGTCTGTTCACTCAGCAGACATCTTGGCAACAGCCCTGGGCAGTTATTTCCAGTCATACAAGACCAGGGGCCATATTATAGAAACATCCTAACTCTGAAATCTTATCATGTCTGTTTAGTCACCATAACAATTTGAGTTTGGATTACAGAATAACTGTTCCTACATTAATAATCTTACCCTAACTCCAGATAAGAAAGCACTATTACCAAAACATCCTGACTAAACAAAATTTTCTAAATGCTGTCCTAACTTCTGTTTTAACCTTCCGTTTCTATTATTTTTTTGGGAAACCGTGACAGACAGCATAGTTCACAATAACTATAGCTGATGTAATGACGTTACATTTATCTATATGGCCAAATAGTGGTTTCACTTGAGATGTTTTTGTTTTCTAATTCTGCGTTATTAAAAATTCCAGACACTGCAGACACGATCTTCACTGTCCCCTCTTATTACTTTTGTGTGTTAATGTTGATGATCGTATCACAATGTTCCTAACTTCCAGTTTACTGTAGTTTAGTTTTGTTTTGATCTTTTTTTACATCAGTAACCGTAGCTGTCTAGTCAACTAACTTACATTTTGAAACATTATTTTAATGACGTTTATGTTTCAGCCATGCATATATCGTTGGTTGCTAGGTAACAGACATGACGGTTCATTGTTGCCTTTGATTGTGTAGGTTAAGATTTTCTAATTTGAGATAAGATGCTGTAGGACAAGGTAGGATTTGTTTATGTAATATGAATTTGTGAAAAATCTTATTTTGATGTTCTCAGATCTTAACTTGGGACAAAACATAGGAAGTTTCTGTAATACGACCCCAGGTTTGTAGCTCTTTGAAAGAGGAGAGACCTATAAACTCGAAACTGAAAGCTAATTAACATTTTCAGAGACATCACTGGTAAAATTGACAAAATGCTTTTGGGTTGTTCTGTCTACTGCACATGTGCATATTTCCACAACTACGGAGAGCTTTTCCTGCTGCCAGCTTTACCAGGAAGCTGACTGGCTGTTTTTATTGAAGGGTGAGACTTTCCCCGTAAACAGACTCCATGTTGAGCATTACGAATTGTACTGTTCATTTTTAACCAGTGAACTGTCTCCTTCTTTATAATGTCTGTATGGTTCAGTATCAAATCCTGAACAGTACCTTCTTCAATACCTTTGTTTAAATTGGTAACTGCAGGTGGGTGTGGCTTAAGCCAGAGGTGTTGGAAATGGCTATATTTATAGACCACAGCAGATTACAGACTAATCAAGAATCTCTGATGCACACACAATGTAATTTATACAACATCTGGATTAAAGCAGCATGCCTGTTGGCTCACCAATGCTGATAAGACTGGTTATTTAGGTATTTAAACTTTGTATTGAATGATATGGAGTATTTCAGTACTCAGTACTTCCATAGTTTGTAAGTAATTTGGTGAATACCATAATAGTGTAGAATTTCGATACCCAGCCCATCCATGTCCGATCGAAAATGTACTTGAAGGGCCAGAATATAAATAGAATAAAAATACATTTACATGGTTATACCGGTGTCATGACCAACACTGCAGTAAGCATGTTACAATCACAGTCTAGCTGGAGCTGCAGTTATTGTTCTAGCTGGAAAGAAGTTGTGACGTTGTAACTTTCACTTGCCTGTTCCTGTTGATTACTAACTGCACTTATGATGGCCTCAAGAAATGAATAGGAATATTTAATCGAACACATTACTGGATTTGCTCTTTATAAGAGTCAGTGTTCCCCTCTCTCTTTATGCTGTTGGATTAGAATAGCACACCAGTCCCTCAGAGTAGATATCGCTTGTATGCATGTGTGAGTCTTGTTACAGTATTTAGTTACATGCAGACTTAGCAGCCTCCTTTTAGCTCCATGTCTCTCACACACTGTCTCCATTTCTATTTTTAGTGCAAGGCTGTGTCACGTCAAACGCACATCCAGTATCCTACTTACAGACGGACCGTTGCACATGCATGCGTTCGTTAGGTCATGTTCACAGACACTTGTTGCTATTTCCATCGCTTGATAAGCCTTTGACTGTGAATAACTAATCCAAGGGAGGGAGAGGAGCAGAGAGGTCGAGCAGTGTTTTAATAAACGGATAAAGGATGGAAGAAGTGCCCTGATCTGCAAACGTTATCTCTTAGATAATGATATTCTATACAAATGACTGTCCAGGATCCTGCCTCCTGCCTGTTTTTCTTTCATTCACTGAATGAACAAGGGAGTGAAAGAAGAGATGAGTGCTCGCGTGAACGGATCCGACTCTGAGGCTGCTGCTGCTGCAGTCACTCATCTGCAGATCCCTTATATGAACATGTCAGTGTATATTTAAAACATGAGTTACTATTGAGGAGTGTATGTGACTGTGGTTACGTTTCATCCATATTCTGAAAACAGGTTATGTAAAAATGTTGTTCATATATCTTGCCAACAAGGCAGTTGACCTATTCATACTTTGTGCGCAAATGCGTTCTTTTGTAGCAAGTGTTACAGCAAGGTTGGACAAGCTTTACAAAACACTGGTAAAAAATTCCATTGAACCTAATGAGACATTGTAGTGCACACCTCAGTTTTTGTAAAAATACCCAAATTTAGGGCGCATTATTTATTTTAAATGATTTTTGTATGCATGAAAAAGATCACACCAATAGATCAGCAACAGCAGAGGTCACTAATAGGCGGACCGTGGTCCAAGTCCGGACCCAGACGCTATCCTATGCGGACCTGGACCTACAGACTCACAGACCAATCGCATGTGTTGTAAATATCACAGTGACGCTACTCAGCCAATCAGGTCTGTGCATTACGTTCTTTGTTTTTTGTTGTGTAATCTAATGTCAGCATAGTAGCAAAATCATTGTTGTTTTCACCCTACTTGTTTTGATTGGCTACAGCAATGTAGTCCACTTAGTAGCATGGAATTTTAAGATGGAAGCTCATTGTTATTTAGCAATGCTGCGTGCAGTAGATCTTCTCATTAGGTTAAAGGGAATTTTTGCCAATGTTCTGTAATGCTTTGCCAGATTAATCAACAGAGTAGTAAGTAAAACGGAGGATCAGTCAACAGGCAAAGGACCAATATGCTGTGGGACAACCACTGGAAAATCTCACTTGGATCAAGTCAGATCATTGACATTTTTGTGCATCTTGTGTATATGTGCTTGTGTGTGGTTTAAGGCTCCTGTCATTGTAATTTGATCACTGAGTTACTGATAGGCTTGTTGCCATGGTGTCCTCGTGCATGATTATGTTACCATGCTGATGCCCTCAATACTCAAGGATACAGGAACATTTCCTCTTCTCTTCAGGGGTGTGTCTGTAAGAGTGTGTCAGTGAAATCATTGATATTAAGTTAGATTAGGGCTGTCACTGTCTATTATATTAGTATTCTGCCAATATCAATCTGCCAAAGGTTTGTTTTTTTTTTTAAACAAAATTGAATTGTTACTTACTAGAATTAGTAATGCACATTAACACCCTGCTAACTGCTTACTTAATCATTGCTGATTTATGGAGAAGGTACATAATATTTTTTCTTAAATCAAGCCCTAAATTAGACCACTTTCTGTCATCTGTGATTGTAGTATCGACAGTGCCCACCTCTGTGTTGTGTTTTAATGTCACGACTAATCAGAATTTTTCTTCCTCTCTTCTTTGCAGAGTCGTGAGGACACAACCATAAGTGATGCGGATCCTTCCAGCCTGTGTGCTTTGAATCACAGCAGGAACGCACACACACACGCAGTGAGTCATGTCAGAGAAGGAGGGTCGCTGTGATTTGGCCCTCGCCCCGGGGCAGGTCTATGTGGAGGTGGAATATGACTATGAGTATAAGGCCAAAGACAGACTCATCTCCATCCACCAAGGGGAATGCTACATGCTGGTCAGAAAAACCAATGAAGACTGGTGGCAGGTGCGTCGGGAGGAGGGCACCAGAGCCTTCTACGTGCCCGCCCAGTACGTGCGTGAGGTGAGGAGAGCACTCATGCCGCCCCCCAAACCCCGCGCCAAGCCCCCCAACATCCTCCACATCACCCAGTGCCCTTCAGCCAACGACAACCCCCAGCATCGAGCTCCGTCAGATATGATCAGCTTCGGACGCCCGTCCCCTTCCACCACGCCTTCCCCTTTACCAGGGCAACAGACCCCACCCTTACTGCTGCGGGACACCAATCAGAACGCAGGCATGAAGGACGTGCTTGCTGAGCTGACTCTCCTTAACAACAACAACCATCATAACCATCACCATGGCAACTCGCTTCTCCCGCGCATCAGGCCGGAGTCGCCACCCAAGGAGCCGAGTTGCCGGGGGAAACCCCCGGGAGGGTTGCCGTTGGACACCGACAGTTCCTCGCCGGGAGAAGGGTCGGAAAAATTACGTAACGATTCAGAATCCGGAGACGAACTGAGCAGCAGCTCCACGGAGCACATGCAGGTAAGAAAATCACGACACGCTGTCTGGAAGCATTCATCCCACTTCAGCTGCGTGGCTTCAGATATTACTGCAAAATCTGTTCATCAGTTACTCTTTCTGTATCTCGCTCTGCATTTTCCTCTCTCCTCATCAAGGTGGTTTTCCTCACTTGTGAAAGAGTGTGGTCCTCTCTCTCATGTCCAGTGAGGTGAAGGGAAGTGGTTTGCACCTGTTGTGCTTTGTGGCAGACTTACAGAAGCCGCAAGTTATGTAACGTCATTATGTATGAATCGTGACAGTGTTTCTAAGGGAGACTTTCATAGGAGAAAGCATACATATGCATTAAGGCAGAGGTGGTACTGGTGGATAATCAGTTTGATGATTCATATGAATTAATTCAAGTGTCAAAGTGAAACATGAACAGCTAGCTTATGATGATTTCAGAACATGGCTAGATGTGGGTTTCACAGCACAGTGGTGAACTGGGTTTGCCTTTGTTCCGAGTGAAGCTTGGATTTCTCTCTTTCTATCTTTCTTTTTCTCTCTGTCTCTCTTTGCCGAGTGTTTCTGGGGGAACAAAGGGGATTGTGGGAGTGTAGAAAGTAGGTCATACCAGGCTATTGCCCCTGCCACCCCCACACTGTCACTGGGACACTGGGATGCACTAGTTTATGCCAGTACCAGAACAAGATAATTGAAAATTAATCGTTCCTTCTCCCAGTTCTGTATCTCTAGTACATTCATCAGATGAGATTCAGTGTGCTGTTGCATAGGGGAAAAGGATTTGAGTTTTGAGTTTTCAGTTTCCACTCACTGCATCTCTCGGTCTCTCTCTGTGTCACACACAGACACACAAAGCACAAAGGACAGAACAGTGTGCTGTGCTTCGAGGGATTTGTCACTGTCAGGCTTTGTTTGCAGTGTTGGCTACTAATGCTAAACCGTGCGATTACCTTAACCATTGTTGTGTCTAGATACACAAGTAACTCCTATACTTTTCTCTCAAAGCTGTCCTATTTGATATGAAAACCTGTGAGGTTTTCTTTTGTTTTTACTCACATGCTAAACGTTTTCTCTCGCTCTCTCTTTTTCTCTGCCCCGTTAAAGGATGGTTCATGTGTTCTTTATGGAATTAGGTTCTAAAGCTCTTTTCTTCACCTCTCTGCAGCTCGCTCTGCCTGAATTTAGTGCTGAAGAGCTCAGTGATTTTCAGATTTCTGCCATCTTAGAGCTGCCCCTGTCAACTGTAAGGAGCAAAAACAGCTCAGTTGTGAGGCATTTGGCTGCATGATCCTAGAACAGGGCTGCTGAGTGCTGAAGCGCATGGCACAATTAAAAATTCTCTGTCCTCTTTTGTCACACTCATTACAAACTGTCTTTGGAAGCAGTGTAAGCAACAGGAAATATTCATTAAGAGCTTCATAGATTTGGTTTCCATAGCTGAGAAGCCCCACACAAGCCTAAGATCACCATGCGCAATGCCAGGCTGTGGCTGGAGTGGTGTAAAGCACACCACCACTGGACGCTGGAGCAGTGAAAATGCATTCTCTGGAGTGATGAATCATGCTTCACTATCTGGCGGTCTGGTCTGCAAATTTGGATTTGGCGGTAAAGTTTGGTGTGAAGTTGGGTGTAGGTTTTTTTTGTAAGGAACTGTGTGCTTCTAACTTTGTGCCAACATTTTTGGGAAAGGCCCTTACCTGCTTCAGCATGACTGTGTCCCCATGCACGATGCGAGGTCCATAAACAAATGATTTGCTGGTTCTGATAAGGAAGAACTAGACTGGCCTGCACAGAAACTAGACATCGACCCCTTCAAACTTCTCTGGGATAAATTTTAACACAGAATGCAATCCATGCTTTATCGCCTAAGATCAGTGTTCAACCTCACTAATGCTCTTGTGGCTAAATTGAACCAAATCCTCTTAACCATGTTTCAAAATTTAAAAGAATGCCTTCCCAGAAGAACAGAGGCTGTTAGTGTTGTAAGTCCATATTAATGCCCATGGTTTTGTAATGAGACGTTTAACAAGCACATGTGGATGTGATATACAAGTGTCCACATACGTTTGGCCTTTTAGTGTATGATTTAACACTCAGACTCATAGTTCTTTTTTCTTTCCTGTTTCACAGTATGTGAATAAAACACTATAGTTAATTATACTTCTGTGAACTTTCAAGTATATAATGGAATCTTATATATGGATGAGCAGAGGATTAAGTAACATGGCCCCCTGCTAATGAAAGCACACGAATAGCACATACGACCAATGACATAACAGTGTCAGAATTTTCTAAGTTTGTTTTAGAAGGAACAGCTGCGTGGAAACATGGACTTTGTGTCACGCATGTGTGTTTATTTTTGCTTGTTTGCTCCTGTGTGACACGTGTGTGTGTGTGTGTGTGTGTGTGTGTGTGAGAGTGACCAGTGGTCTACAATGGTTGTTTGTAACTAGTCCTCTTAACTGATTATGTAATAATTGTGACAGGCTTATTTGTAAGGTTAATTTTAGTTCAGTTTCTCTGTACTCTTTTTTTATTTGTTTACTTTTTCTTTTTTTTGACACATTCACTTAAATATTCTTTTTCTTTTCCCACTACAGAGCTTACTTGTGGCTATTCTTTAAAAATTATAAAAAAAAACCTTAGATGTACTGACACAAATTGAAATGCTTTATACTGTTCTAATAAAAACAACCACTCCATGATATTCCTAAAAAAGACGACCGCAAAGTAAGTAAAGAACTCCCTTGTAACTTCTTTGTATTTAAGCATATATTTGGTTTTTTTTTTTTTTTGAGAAAATTACTTTGCAATTGGACTTTGACCAGAAAAATAAAAGCAAACATTCCTGGTCTTTCTTTTTTAATCCAGTATTGCGTATTGTGTTGCAAAAAAAATCCAATACAATATCACAATACAAAACCACAATCACATCATAAAATTTCGTTTCATATGAAATTTGTAGAGAAATTTACCAGCTCTGATTTTCTTTGCACTAGTAGTGATAGGAACCAGGGGTTTTAGAGGTATTAAACTTTTTGGACATATAATACAGAAACTTGTTGTCAGATCTTAAAGACAAGTCAACATATTTTTTTACATTCGTATTACAGAAGCAAATCCTTTTGTTTATTTAGGAATTGGATCGTATCTTAGAGTCTTATCTAAAGTTAGGAAATCTTAACTCAATCAAAGTCGACAGTCAACTGTCGTATGTTATCTAGCAACCAACGATACATGCACGTCTGAAACGTAAACACGTAATCAAAACTGTTAAAATTGTAAGTTCTAGCTGCCGTTACTGCTCAGAAAAAGATCAAAACACAGCTAAAGTGACAGAAAACCTGGATATTATGAATATTGTAAGCTGTGCTAGTGTTATTCCTCCTAATAAATAGCAACACATACAGCTGAGTCTCCTCATTATTCACCACCATCCCTGCAATGTTTCATCTCATGAATTTTTATCAATATTAACACACAAAGGCACTAAAAGGGGCCAGTAGAGAGTGTGTCTGCAGTATCTGGGATTTTTACATTGCGGAGTTTAAAAAAAAAAACAGTTTTTAGTATAGATAAATGTAATGTCATTATGCAAGTAGTGAACTATGCTGCCTGTCACAGCTGCCTAAAAATAATAGTTAAGGAAGGTTAACACAGCAGTTCTAAAGTTAGGACAGTATTTAGGAAATTTTGTCTAGTTAGGATGTTTCTGTTATACTGCTTTCTTATCTGGAGTTGGGATAAGATTATTAATCTAGGAATTGTTATTCTGTAATAGCTACTGTGATAAATTCAGTCCTAACTGAAGTTATAATGATGACCGAACAGATAAGATGTCAGAGAAAGGAGCTCTAGAAAGGAGCATTTCACATCAAACTACTCTGAATGACTTTGTTTACATCTTAATGGTTGAAATATGCAGAAATTCTGGAAAATCTTTAAGTGGAAGTCGTTATGCCATGAGCACTCTGTATACACAGAGGAAGGAGAAATGGTAGTGCCCACCTTTCTTTGCACTGCCTTTGTTAAGTCCATTTTTTTTTCTCTTTAATGCTCTCCATTACTTGTTGCTCACCCACTCACTGGATGTTTAAAGCTGTCATTATAAGACAAAAACACAGTAACAGTTACAGGACCTAAACTATTTTTAAGCGAGGTAATTATTGATCTAATTATTGGCTCCTTATGCTTATGAAGTACTTCATTTATGAATCTGAACTATGGTTGTTGAAGCAGCCTGTGTGCTCATTCCTTCTGGGCCATTCACAGTTCTGTACCTCTGTCCATGTGCAGACTATAAAGGAGGCCCCTACTTTTTCTCCTGAGCATTCCTTTCATTCCTACACACACACACACACACGCGCACACACGCACACGCACAGCAGTCCAGTCCAGTAACTCAATGGAGCTCTACTGATCTCTGCAGAGGAAAAGCACTCCTCAGCCTAATCTAATATTTACTCATCTATCAAAGAAATCCCTTTCTCTCTGTCTCTCTCTCTCTCTCTCTCTCTCTCTCTCTCTCTCTCTCTCTCTCCCTCTCTCTCTCTCTCTCTCTCTCTCTCTCTCTCTCTCTCTCTCTCTCTGCCCCCTTCTCTTTCTTCACCTCACACATATTTGCACACACATACAGTCTTTTACTGTCTGTCTCTGATACTGCAGAGGTGTATATATGTCCTTTAATGTTGTCACGATACTGGAAATGTACTGCATTGATGTTGGACTATGAAAAGTATTGATATTTTACGCCATACTGGGTCTCCAGTAATAGCAAAAAAAAACAGTGACTGACCACACCAAATGCAGTTACTTGAAACAAAAATCAATCACAATTTGGCTCACTGGCAATCAACAAGGCTTTAGTAGTGAACAGTCCAGTTCAACGGGCAGTCTAACAGACAACCAAATTATTTGAAATACTGCCTAGCACACTGTTGTAAGTGTACTTAAGGAGAATTCTGTGTATGTTTTCCTAGGACACACTGCACCACTAAAGGCTAAAAGATGCAAGAATG